ACAGTTCTGCTGAGCTTTGGTCCTGATTACATAGTCTACATTTGTTGAATGCCTTTGTTGTCAGGGTAGATAGCAAGTTGGACAAAATCATTTATAGGAAACCAGAATATGCTTACTCCATTCTTCAATTTCTTCATTTCCATATATATATATACACTCAGGACTAGACTTTGTTTAATTCTTTTTCATTTACTCCAAGTACTTTCTATGCTTAAGTGTGTGCATGTGTGCGTATTTCTGACTGTATGAGTGTAAGTCAGTGTGTGAAACACCATTTAGCACACGGAATAAGTCCTGGATCATCATGATTTAATAGCCCAAGGAATACTTCATTTGAATCTTATACGCTTTATATAATCACTTTCTAAAAATATATATATACATAATTTTTCTTCTTCCTTGGGCTATTAAATCATGCTGATTCAGAGTTTACTCCATGCTCTAAATGGTGTTTCACAATCTGACTTATATTCATTCAGTGAACCTTGACATTCTTTGCAACACACTACAACTAGTCGATTCCCTGACTAATTGTCTTCTAAACAGTTGTACTATCTCTCCTTCTATCCTGGGATATACACCTATCCTTTATCCAGTCTAGAAATGTACCAACTCCACGTTCCAATACTGGAAATTATCATGGATACTATGGACTTCGGACAAGGTGTGCTCCTTTAGGTGTCCCTCACAATACGACCAAGTTATGAAAACAAGGTCAAACCAATTTTATTGCTTTAGTTCTTAATCGATCGCTCAATCGATCCACAAATGAATGTGCATACTCCTTCATATTTATTTAATTGTTTATTTTGGCCTATAGTGGTGGTATCTAGGTCTTGACGGAGACTGATCTTCGACACACACAATTCAGCCAAATGTCTACACGTGTTGCAAGGTTAAACAATGCGATTTTTTTATTTCAGCGTCTTAGTAACAACTCCTGATTCTTGTGAAGGGACTTGTGGGTTGGTCACACCGAAGACCGAGGATACAATGCCTGTGAGTGCTATGGCTGTGCAACCATGGCTCGTCGATATAACCATAGCAGGACCGGATGCACTGATCTCCGAGTATGATGAATCTGAGGTGATCCGTTTGCCATCATGTGACATATCTTCAGAGCGTGGAATGCCCAGACTAGACAGGACTTCGCAAAACACAGTTGGCCAGCTGACATGGCCGAGGAAAGCAGAGATGAGTAGGCCATTGAGTTGAGGACGCCAGAATGACCAAACTACGAATTCCAACTGCCAAAAGTAGGGCTAGAAAATGGCAATAAGGCCTGAAATCGTGTTTAAACGCGCGTTACACTGACGCCTGGGATATGTATGAACGAAGCAATTTGTCTTCTATCGGTCTTACGGAAGTGTTGTATGCTGGTAAGGGACGTACTATCCGGAGGGGTACGTTTCGAAACGATAAGTACACATTTTATAATGGATAGAGCCACTTTAGGTCGCTCAACATGATGTAAAGCATGATTATTTAAGATATGAAGACTAAGATGTTGTGGCCTCTGGTATGGTCGCAGTCTCTTTTCGATTTATAGAAATGGGTTTACCTCGTTGTCGCAACTTGGTCTTGTTGTCAGGGCGACTTAGTATAACACACCTTGTCCGAAGTCGTCTGCCATAGTAGTTGTCATGATTTTAGCATCAGACAGTGGACATGGTACATGCTCAAACGTTTCGCATCATAGTCGGTATCATCGAAGAGTTTTGCCATTCACCGCACCAAGCTACGAACTCATCAAAGAGACAATACGAGTTCGTAGCTTGGTGCTGAGAATGGCAAAACTCACTGATGACGCTGACTATGATGCCTGCGAAACGTTTGAGAATGTACTAAGTCCACTGTCTGATGCTGGGAATCATGACAATTACTATGGGAGACGACTCCTGACTAGGTGCGTTCTACTAAGTCGCCCTGACAACA